GAAAAGAGATCAATCTGCCATTATTTGAAGATGATATTATCTACCTCAAAAACCCAATAGAGTCACAAAAGGAAATTATTTGAAATTTTTAAGAATCCAGTTGTATAGAATATATCCTGAATCAGTAACATTTACTTAAACTAGTAATAATGGGGGCGCCTGTGTGGCATAGTCAGTTAAGCATCTGATTCTTGGTTTTGGCTCAGTCGTGATCTCAGGGTCATGAGATTGAGCCCTATGACAGGCTCCATGCTCAGTGCGGAGTCTGCTTAGATTCTCTCTCTCTCCCTCTGCCCCTCCCTACCATGATCTCTCTCTCTCTCCCTCTAAAATAAATAATTAAATCTTAAAAAAAGAATTGTATAAATTAAAAAATAAAATAAACTAGTAATAACTAACTAGAGAAGAAAATAATACACAAGGCCTTTATTATGGGGCAATATTGCATATCTATAAGAGCAAAGAATATGGAGTTAGGCTGCTTTTGTGGCAATGAGACAATGAAAGTGACAGTCTCTCAGTGCCTCAGTATGTATGTATGTATTTTTTTTAAATTGGAGTAGAATTGACCTCAGTTTCTTCATGTATAAAATAAGGATCATAATTGTATGTATCTTATAAGATTATAAAGATTAAGTGAGTCAATATAGTCAAACACTTATCATGGTACCTGGTACATACTTAGCATTATATGAATTTTTGCCATTATTGTTTTGGAGCTATTCTATTATAGCACAATAAAGATGATAAAAATAAATATTTCATCTCTTTTATTGGATAACTACAATGATAAGATATGAATTTTCTCCCAATATATCTATGAATTTAAGGCAAACCCAATGACAATTCAAATTTTCGTTATGTTTTTAGAGAAACTCAGCAAATCTAATCTCAAATGTATGTGGTAGAAGAATAAAGAAGGGGGACTTGCTCTATTAAATATGAGGACACAGTACAAAGCCATAGAATAAGAACAGTGTGATAATACAAACAGACCAGGGGACAGCCAATTTTTTCTGTAAAAGGGCCAGAGAGTAAATATTTTAGATTTTGTGAGGCCATTGGTCTTTGTTGCAACTACTCAACTGTGCTTTGTAGTGCAAAAAGCAGCTGTATGTAAACAAAACACTGTGGCTGTGTGCCAATAAAATTAATTTATGGATACTGAAATTTACGCTTCATGTAGTTTTCACACGTGACAAAACCTTCTTCTCCTGTTTATTTTTTTCTACCATTAAAAATGTAAAAACCGGCTTAGCTCATGGGCCATACAAATATAGATCCATCTGGTTCATCAGGTGTAGTTTGCTGATACCCAGAATGGAACACTGATATAGACCATGTATAAATGAGAACTTTTAAATAGAGTTAGTTGGATGTTTTCTGTTTGTTTCTGAGATCCAGTCTCTGCCCTTCTCCACCCCACTCTATGCTCCGGCAGGTTCTTTACCCTCTAGCTGTTGGTTAGTGACATACGAAGTGGGGGTAGATGGGAGAGAGCCCACTCCTTGGTACAGGCAGAAAGGGAATATATTGTCATTAGTGAATTTTTAAAACAATAATAACAGCTTTTTTCATCATCATATACTGGCAATTCTAAACAATGTCAGTGACAAAACAGTCCTCCCCATTAGTGCTGCTATTATCACCCTTATTTAGTTGGGTTTGGCTAATAGGACATCCCAGCAGGGGACTGGGGGTCGGGGGAGACTAAAATCTGCAGCAGATTCGGGATGCTATGTATGCTACCTTGCTATCTGCACCTTAAGATTGAGCAATGATAATATCCAATAATAACAGAGGGGTCTGGGGCTGGTAGAGATACTGTATGGACCTTCTGAGAACCCCTCTGTAACAGAATCACAGCTTATATCCATAAGGTTTTGAAGATAAGCCACGCCTTCCTTTGTCATGTGTAATTTCCCATCTGGAATGCAGTTCTGCCCTTGCACTGCTTAAAACTGAATAACAGACCTTGAGACATCAAACGACTATGTGCCCTGAATTGCCCATTATGAGCTAGGTGATATCTGATCTGCTGAATCATAAAACTGGATGTGCAGCAGCAGCATTCTCCTCCTAAATGGAAATGGCCTATATTGAGACTGGGTGCTATCAGGTCCAGAAAGAGCAAACAAAATACGGAAGCAGCCAATTAAGAGTTCCATGATACCTGCTCAACTGCTTTACCTCTGCTCCTTCAGCCTAGAGAACTCCCTTTCCCAGTTAATGGAGGACGGAAAAGCTCAGATCTGATTTATGGATAGATCTACACTGAACATCACCATCAGCTAGAAGTGAAAGGCTGCTATGTTAAAGCCTCAAAGGTATCATCAGTAAAGGGAGTTACTTGGGCAATCCATATCTACGGGCAATCCATATATCCATGTCTGATTATTTGCCACCAAACAGCCCTGGTTGATACTCTTAGAGTCCTAACTGCCTTTTGGAATAGCCCTGAGTGTGCAAATAGCCTCAGCATCTGGCTTTAAGCCCCCTTCATTCTTGTCTGTTCCATGTAGGACCAGTGACTTGATTTCATGCATAATCTTTCACCCACACAGTCAATAAAAACAGTGTGGCAGATTCTAGCAACGAGGCTTGGAGTGGCATCAAATGAAATCAGTATCTTATTTGTGTTGATTTTTTTCTGTATTGGCTTTCTCTTAGCCATTAAATTACTGTCCTTTAAGCATGATGCCACTATTGAAGAAGGGTGTAGAGTTGTTAGAAAATGTCTATTTTCTTGCTAGAAACTAGCAGCAGGTAATAGTCACTTGCCACATTGCTGTTTTTATGCCTAGAAAACAATTCATATTTTGGTCATCTAAATCAATGTTTTCATTTCATGGAATTTTCAATCCTTTCTAGGGAGAACTTCAGGTATCACATATTGCCAGAAAAGAAGTTGTCTGTCACATGAACCATTAAGTAAACTGATATAAAACATAATTGATAACTTTGACCTGTCACTAATGTCTGACGCTTGCCTAATATACTGAATTATCTGAAATTCTTATTAAACACATTTATGTAGGATCCTGGTTTCTATTATCCATATCTGGAATGAGTATCTGAATTAGTAGTATTAGCCAGACAAGAAATGATTCCCTCTTCCTAGTAATTAAATAAATCTGTTTGCGATTAGTAGTATTTACAACTCACTTTTAAAACCATCCATCCACATACATACCACCTCCATGATCAAGCTTGTGTTCAGCAGCAAGAAATATGATATGTTTTGAAATGTGGTTTTCTTTGTTTCAGTTCTCAAAATCTTATCTAAAGTTATAAGGTAAGATTCACTACAACATTTCCCAGTAAAACTTAATCCACAAAAATACAGACTCTCAGAACAATTCAATATGTTTTATTGTTTTAAAAATCCCCAACCTCATTTTTTTAAAAAGATTTTATTTATTTATTTGACAGAGAGAGAGAGAGAGAGAGCACAAGTAGACAGAGAGCAGGCAGAGGGAGAGAAGCAGGCTCCCACTGAGCAGAGAGCTCAACTCGGGGCTGGATCCCAGGACCCTGGGATCATGACCTGAGCCGAAGGCAGATGCTTAACCGATTGAGCCACTTGGGTGCACCCCCCAAGCTCATTTTAAGACTAGGACATGGTGAGTCTGGAGAGCAGCATGAGAATGAGGGTCCAGTGCATAAACGTCCTTAAAGACTGAGATCTCAAATGAAAGAAAATCCTCTTTCAACCAGACTGATGTCGATGGCAGACAGAAGTCTATAAAATAACTATTTTAATTAAAAATATCAGACTGCTGTCAAAGTTTTCTAGGTCTTAACCTGTTGCTCTGATGTTCTGACATATTGCCTCCAAAACAAATAGAAGCCATGTTTAGACTCCTTAAAAATATTCATCTTTTCAGATAGAATCTCGCTGTATTACTTCTGAAATAACTGAATTGTCTAGCTCATAGTTTCTTAATTTAATTAATTAATTAATTAGTTAATTAACTATTTCAAATGAGATATCTCATCATAATGAAAGAAGAATATTAGTTTGGGTTTGGGCTTAGGTTTAGCACCATGCTATATTTAAATAAACAAGTAGGATTGATTTAGTATTTAAGAAAAGAAAAACAGGTCCACAGATAACCACATCCAAATAGCAGAAATGTAAAAGGGTAAATATACAGGGTTCTTGAAAGTACACGGTTTACTATTCTAATATTTCAAGTGAAAACACAATGTTAGATTAAAAAAACCTGGATTATGAGGACATTAGGGAAGGAAAGAGAAGAAATGGCTAAATGAAGACAAAATATGATTTTTAAGTTTCCGATCAAATAAATAAGATAAACATTTGCATAAAAATCAGAGAGAAGCTATATCATTGCATCACCACTAGATGAACACAGAGAAAATATTCACACAATTTTTATAAAATACTGAGGCTATAAAAGTAAAGGGAAAATGAATTTTTGCAGAATTTCCATTGAGTTACTGCCAATGCTTAAATATTCCAAAGGTGGCTTAAGATATTTGATGAACTCAAGACATAGCCAGGTTGTGTAGTCCCTAAAATTTTGCTTCTTTATGGTTCTTATTTATAAGTTTTGTATGTGCAAAAATGGCATGTATTATTTATCATATGAGTTGTTAGATATAAAATATCCAAGAGAATATACTCATTGACATTCCCTGAAGGTCATAAACACAATTCCAAAACAACTATTAAAGCAGGGGTTGGCGAATCTGAGCCAATATCAAAACCAAGAAAGCCCATGGGCGCCTGGGTGGCTCAGTTGGTTAAGCAACTGCCTTCGGTTCAGGTCATGATCCTGGAGTCCCGGGATCGAGTCCCGCATCGGGCTCCCTGCT